AGATGGCCGACTTCTAAATGGCCACCACCCATCTTAAGGAGTTTGCCCCCTCACATATCCTAATGTGCCACAAACAGGACTTTAATATCACCAACCATTCCCATGTTATTACGGTGTATCCATATAAATGGCACACCCTGTATTTTCTTTTCCTTGTCTGTATCCACCAAAACACCTGACTGCTTTATTAAAACTTATTTTGTGGTAAAGTTACCAAAATAATTGCCAGGAGGTCTTTCAAGACGTGCTAGGAGGTGAGACTGGCCTGCACAGATGTTATAACCTTTCATCAGGAATGTGTGAATGGCTGTTTACACCTGTGAGAGCTTAACCTGAAAGCTTGCAAAACAGAAGTGTCTCTTTCAGAGGTTTCATTGTGTAATGATGCAACTGTGACATCTATGCAGAGAAGCTTCCATGTCCCATGTTTAATAAATGTTGAAGAAAGGGTAATATCTACAACCTGCAGGACACCGGTCCTTGAGGCCTGGGGTTCCCCGCCCGTGACATTGAACATCTTGTTAGGTCATGATGCTGAATACTGTTTTATAGATCACGCAGGCTGACACGCATTTTGTTTGTTTTTTTTTAAATATAAAATCCAGGTGAGACTTTGTTCACTTTTCACTGATTCTTTGTTCAGATTTGAGTGAATGTCTTTAGCTGCAGGTCATCAACTCTTTGGAAAGGTGCGCGCGCGCGTGTTCCAAAGGCGTGCGCGTGTGCGTGTGCGTGTGCGTGTGTGTATATATATATAAACATAAACCAGACTCCAGCTAAAAAACATCCACATTTTATTGTTCTGTCACTCAGGGGTAAGACAGAAGGCTGTTGCCACAGAAAACATTTCACCGTCACATTACACCAACTTTAAACATTCAACTTTATTCACCGGCTTTCCTTAAAACCCTCGTTAACACACACTGTTCACTTCAGACACACGATTCCCTCCAACACTGATCGGTGCGTACAAAAATACTTTTTAAAAACAGGAAATTGATGCACACACTTACACACATCTAAATGAACATGTAGCTTAAACAGAGTTTGAGAACTAATCCATGAACATCACAGGTGGTAAAAATCACATTTTCCAGGTCACCTTTCTTAAAAAAATAAATTATGTTTTCCTTACCAGCTGCTCTGAGCAGACGCTAAATTAATCAGTGACCGATGTCAGAAGCACTTTCCTGCAAACTGATGTGCAAATCTTTGCATTACTGTGAAAGAAAGCAGAAACATTAAAGCTGCAGCCATCCACCCCACAGTCAGACCACCCACCGACTGTCAGCTTCTAAAAGCAGCTCATTTCTGTCACCCAGACAAAAATCTGTCATTAAGACTTAATTCAGTGAGAAATAAAACTGATGATTATCTGCAGGCAGGTCATCCTTTCACAAATCATTCTTTTAAATCATCCAACTTACCAGAAGGAGCAGCTGAGACCCCGCCCACCTGACCTCAAACATGCTCCCTCACATCACTTGAGATTAGCCCCCCCAGGAAATCTGAGTCATCCTAAAGTTAAGCAGCTTCTAGTTTTCATCTTTAAACTTGTTTCAGTTGCTTCAGTTTTTTGTTTCCTTTTCCTATTTTTTAAATTTTTGATTAGTGAAGCAGATAACTTCATGATGAAGATTGTAAGAAAACAGAAGACAACCCAAACACACAAAGTTTCTCTGGCAATTTCTGAACCGTTTCCATTTTTGAAGCATTTCTAAAGTTCATGTTTTAAAGCCAAGAATCACTTAAAACCACAAAGCCCCCCCCCAAAAAAAAAAGATCCACTCTTGGAAGACTTCCTCACCCCTCCCCCTCCTTAGCACTGATGTGAATCTAATGTGATTCAGCATTGGCATTAACAGATGCATGTTTGTAAAAGTGACTCTGCATGTATGTGCAGCATGGCAGTGCGTGCTTTAAAAACAGAGCAAGCACGCTCAGTAGTACGGGCCGATGTTCTCATATCCGGCATAGCCCGGCCAATCAGGGAAGATCCCGTGTGAACACGTGGGGCTGCCATATCGGTCGAAGTGAACCCCATAGTTAAAGGAGGGCCTGCTCCAGGCCTGCTGATGGCCCCTCCTCATCAAGGACCACGTGATGCTATAGTTGTTGCCTTGGTTGCTGTCCCAGTGCTCGCAGCCATCCACCTGGTAGCAGACGGCAAACTCGATGCGCTCATGCGGCTTCAGCTCGCCGGACAGAGACACTTCGAAGGAGAAGGTGTCGTGGTGCAGGCTGGGATAGGAGTCCTTCATGTACACACAGTCCACATCCGTGTGGCTTTTCCACGAGTCAAAGGTCACACGCACCTTCACGGACTTCTCGAAAGACATGTTCCTGACTTTGACGGTTCCTGCGAACGCCTTCTCTTTCAACAGGCAGTGCTCGAGGCAGACGAGGTTCTCCTCCAAGCGCTGACGGAACAGCAGGTAGTCTGAAGCAGGCTGAGCGAAGCCCAGCACCAGCCGGTCCTCCTCGGCTTTGCGTGGCTTCGTTGAGCTTAGCTGCTCCTGGATGTTCACGGGAATGTCGATGGGGTCACTGAATGGAGAGAACATCTTCACCCGGGTCAGAGCCAGGCCTTTGTGGTCGGCAAAGGTTACGCGCTTTTTGGTTTTGGTCCCGTTTTCGCTCATGGATCTGTCGTCCTGGAGCTTGGACTGATCGAGGAGGTGTGAGTGCTGGAACCTCAGAGCAGATTTACAGGTTTTCCGAGGCTTCCTGTAGGAAAAGTCCTCTTTGGAGAGGTACAGGGGCAGGGTCATGTCGATCGGCATGGTGGGCTCTGGAGGAAGCACGCACAGAACACTGAAACACAGGAAAGAGCACTTCTGTTAAAATAATCTTACTCCATTTTAATATTTATCATTAAACTGAAAGCTGACTCAAACTGTATGCTCTTTGTAACACCAGGACGTTAGTTACAGAGCAACAGGATCAATCAATGCAGATAAACCTGGATTCTTCTATGGAAATATAAGTGGTTTAATTTCTGCTGCTCACTCCACATTAGAAACTCTCACTTTATTACAGGTGACAAATATCCAAATTAAGTCATATGGACAAACTGAAAAACAGTGCAAGTCCATCATTTACAGTAAATGATGTGATTAAGTCACAGTACAAAGTTCTCAGCACAACAAGAATGTCATCACAGTCTGTATCATATTCAAAAATTACATTTTAAAAGTTTAAACTTTATGATCATTTTTTTGTAACAAAAGTGAACATAAAGAAAATCAATGAGTGCAAATCATTTATATGCAGATTGAACAGAGTGTGTCATGGTGAGACCACTACAGATTTCACCACATTTTACCTGTAATTGTATGGTAATGTATGTCATGCATGTTTGTGGAACAGGTGACCCACGATGCTGTAAGTGGTTAGATTTCTGTATAAAAGCTCCTTTAGTGGTTTAAGTCCTGCAGCAACTGTGTCAGTGTGTTCTGTCCCTGAGGCTCTGAATAAAAGTCTTTAATGTGAGTTTCCTATGTGTTAGTTCATCGCTGTATTATTGTAGTGCATGTAATTTCCAACTTGACCACATTTTACTGCAAACTGATAATAGCCCTTTTTAAAAATTATAATTAAGATGCAGTAAAAAAAA